ATGTACAGGAGAGGGGTGTGGAGGAGATGACAGTGGGCAGTATATACAGGAGAGGAGTGTGGAGGAGATAACAGTGGGCAGTATGTACAGGAGAGGAGTGCGGAGGAGATGACAGTGGGCAGTATGTACAGGAGAGGGGTGCGGAGGGGATTACAGTGGGCGGTATGTACAGGAGAGGAGTGTGGAGGTATGATAGTGATCAGTATGTACAGGAGAGGAGTGTGGAGGTATGATAGTGATCAGTATGTACAGGAGAGGAGTGTGGAGGGGATGACAGTGGGCAGTATATACAGGAGAGGAGTGTGGAGGTATGACAGTGGGCAGTATGTACAGGAGAGGAGTGTGGAGGGGATGACAGTGGGCAGTATGTACAGGAGAGGAGTGCGGAGGGGATGACAGTGATCAGTATGTACAGGAGAGGAGTGTGGAGGTATGACAGTGGGCAGTATGTACAGGAGAGGAGTGCGGAGGGGATGACAGTGGGCGGTATGTACAGGAGAGGAGTGCGGAGGAGATGACAGGGTATGACTGTATTACTATGGTCTGGCACAGTAAATCAGGTGTGATTGGCACAGAGCGGGTTATGAGAGTGCAGGAATATTTGTCATTGATGTACATTGTATATAAGATAAGTACAGAAACAAGCCCATGTGTTTGCCCCCGAAAACGAAGCCGAGCTTCTGTCAGACTTGTGGTACCGCATAGCGCCCTCTAAAAAGTGATCCACAGCGGATGGCTTTTCAGAGGTATAGCAGCAGCTGACAGGAATAAAGGTGGCACTACTGTTGCCTCCTGAGTGCCTGTGTTCATTATTTTTTTTTTGTTTGTTTTTTTTTTACTTTTAGGTTCCTTTCACACCGATCATTTTTAGGCACTTTTTTTAAAAAGTAGAACTAAAAATTCATGAAAAATGTATCCCTTTAAATCCTATGGAACTCTTCACACCAACGTGCCGACTCCCAGCATGCACCTGAGAAACATGGAGGAGTGACCCAAAAACACACTGCAGTCGTGTTGTTGGTGCGTTTACTATTGGGGAGCTGCGCCGTGGACGCGGTTTTGAACAGCGCACCAAAGATGCAGCATGCAGGACGTTTCAAAACGCAGCGCGGTGGTGTCAAGAGTCCTATAGGATGTAAAGTGAAATATTTTTATTGCGTTTTTCTTTTTTTCTGACATTTTTAGCAAGGGAAAAAACACGTGGATGTGAAAGCCCCGCATGCTGCGTTTGTGGTCCATGTTTAAAAATCGCACCTCCCCATTGAAATGAATGGGAAACGCGTCCTGCTATTTTTGGTGCACTTTTTAAGTCACATGTCCATTTCAGAGGTTCATGATTGGAGTTGGGCAACCAGAAAAACTTAGATCAATACTATCATTTCTGAATGATAATTTTACATTGCGGGGCCGTGCGTCATCCGAGGGCTTAGCATGTGGTGCGGCCTCAATGACCTCAAAGGGCATGTATGGCAGGCGGTGCTCTCTGTCATACTCTGACACCCCAGGATACAAATGCTGCATCTGTAAAGCAAAGCATCGCAGCTGCGGCATGTCTGGCTGTATTGTTACAGTTCGGGGTGGGCTGTAAAGCCAGGGCTCACTTTCCTGTTTTTACCATCCCCTGGTCGCCTATCTGAAAACGCCCCAAGAGATGTATTCTGAAGTATATAATTTTACTACTTCATTATAAATGGTACACCCCCTTTTTAAAAGGTTGGAGAAACACCGTCTGGGGGTGCACAGGTGCCGATATCAGGTCTCCCCGGACCAGCATTCACTATATTCGGTCTCTCCGGACCCTGCATTCACTATATCTGGTCTCCCCGGACCCCGCATTCACTATATCCGCTCTCCCCGGACCCTGCATTCACTATATCCGGTCTCCCCGGACCCTGCATTCGCTATATCCGCTCTCCCCGGACCCTGCATTCACCATATCCGCTCTCCCCGGACCCTGCATTCACTATATCCGCTCTCCCCGGACCCTGCATTCACTATATCCGGTCTCCCCGGACCCTGCATTCACTATATCCGGTCTCCCCGGATCCCGCATTCACTATATCCGCTCTCCCCGGACCCTGCATTCACTATATCCAGTCTCCCCGGACCCTGCATTCACTATATCCAGTCTCCCCCGGACCCTGCATTCACTATATCCGGTCTCCCCGACCCTGCATTCTCTATATCTGGTCTCCCCAGACCCTGCATTCACTATATCTGGTCTCCCCAGACCCTGCATTCACTATATCTGGTCTCCCCAGACCCTGCATTCACTATATCCGGTCTCCCCGGACCCTGCATTCACTGTATCCGCTCTCCCCGGACCCTGCATTCACTATATCTGATCTCCCTGGACCCTGCATTCACTATATCTGATCTCCCCGGACCCTGCATTCACTATATCCGCTCTCCCCGGACCCTGCATTCACTATATCTGATCTCCCCGGACCCTGCAATCACTATATCTGATCTCCCCGGACCCTGCATTCACTATATCCGCTCTCCCCGGACCCTGCATTCACTATATCCGCTCTCCCCGGACCCTGCATTCACTATATCTGGTCTCCCACAGTACACACAACATGGAAATGCAATTATTTTTTAGTAAATATAAACCGCTAAATACCTTTTCTCATCAGCAGTATATAGCAGTCTTGTGACTTCTATCAGTGTCCAGCAGAGCACTGGTTAAAGCATGTAGGAGGAGTTTTCCTTCTGCTCTAGGAGGATGCAGAACCCCTGACCTCTGTCTGGATAGTGCTGATTGCCCCTGTGCTAATCACAAGCACTCTCCCAAGAAAAAAAAAAAAAAACCTCTCTAGCAATACACACCAAATTGAGCACGTGCAGAGTGACTCCACACAATATGTCTCATCAGGAAGGGGGCACTGCAAGAAGGGGAGGATCAGAGAAGACAGGATCAAACAGCATTTTTACATAATTTAGAGAATTAACCCCTTAGGTTCCGCAGTGAGTATAACAAGCATGCTTTACTACATATACAGACTGATTGTACTGTTGTGGGTTTAGTGACACTTGAAGTACATAGCTGAAGGTAGACAAGGTGAAGGTAGACTAGATGCTGGCAGGAATGCACAGGATCACTGAGGTAGGAAGAAGATGAGGAACATAGGGATCAGGCACAGGCTTGGGGTCAAAGGTAGGAGTACACAAGCCTGGAAACCAAAGACACTGGGAATGCTGGGATAGTGAGACACACAGGAGCTGGGTATGGGCTGGACAGACATTTTGCTTCTGGACTCTTTCACACGATCGGTGGATAACAACGGGTCACTCACTTGAATTCCAACATAAAAACACAAAGACATTTTTCGTATATTATGGTGACATCTTTTGTTCTGTTTCCCTAGATAGGCTGCTAGGATAATAGGTACTCCTCATAAGGCACTGGAGAAGCTCGATTTCTTTGGGCTGTTCTAAATCTCTCAGGCTGCAGGTTTGATTGCTTCTCCCTTCTAGAGGCTGGGAGAGTCTAACGGGCAACTTGAATATTTATTGTGCTGCAGCCAATCCCTGGGAAAGCGTGCCCAGTAGGTGGCTGGGTGGGATTATAAATAGTCTGGGGTCTGGAGCAGCCCTCTTGTCCTACTGGAGAAGTTCCCAGCCTTTTGAGGCAGCTTGCTGGAGTTGCGGTTGTTCATTGAGGTCCCAGCTGTGGATCTGGTTGATCTGGTTTGGAGGGCTCACTGGAGAATGCTGGGTGGAAGCTGGAAAGTGTGTAGGCACCCTGTGGCAATGTATTAACCCCTCCCTCACTGAAGATTGTCTGGTGGAAGTCAGGAACTGAGCAGTTGTCCCGAAGCATGGAGATGTCTAAAGGAAATGGGGGGATTGAAACTGTCCTGGAGACATTGTGAGAACAGACCTGAGCTCAAGATCCAAGCAGGGGCGGACTGACAACTCATGGGGCCCCTGGGCAAAAGGGGACCATGGGTCCCCTGTGTCCTTGCCCACACTCAAAACACACCCAAAAAAGCCTATGAAAGGTACCAGGGGCATCTCATGGGGCCCCCTTCTGACCCCGGGCCCTCGGGCAGTGCCCAAGCTCCCAAATGGTCAGTCCGTTGCTGGATCCAAGTGACCGTGTGCTATTTTGAAGGAGAAGTGCCAGCAGTAGCTCTTTCTGAGTCTCATTTCTGGCCATCCCTAATATCCTAGAGAAGCCTAGCCTAGTGAAGAGTGTCCTCAATGTGCCCTGAGCATCCCATACCACCCTCACCCCTCTCTCATGCCAAGTTCTACAAGCAACCAACTACAAAATGTCGACCCCTAGACTGTTAATTAAAGCCAAAGTGGAAGGACTGTTGCTAGCATGACTGGTGGCCTCTGCACTGTCTGCGAAAGCACCAAATAAAATCAGCAGCCCCTACAGGGGTAGCGCTACATTTGTTTGGAAGGGGATTACCTCAGCATAAACATGGAACCCTCTTGGAGATGATAGACTGATTAAAATGAATACAAAATTTCTCATTTAAAAGGATTTATTCTTTCATAATATATATTTTCTCCCACCCCTACAACTGTCAAAGTTTTTTTTTTCTTTCATTTTTTATATCTTTCATTTGACCAAACTCTTTTCAGCACTGGAAAAGGTTTTTCATTGTGTGAACAGGGCGATCTAGGCACCCCTTACAGTACGGCATTTCACGGCTCTGTTGGAACCAGTTCCACAAAAGTCCATGAGAAGAACCAGCCAAGTTGAGGGGGTCAATGCCCTTGTTCAGTGGTCACAACTAGCTTCCAGGAGAAGACAGCTTCAAAAGCTGGTCACACACTGGGCATGCAGCGGCCTTTACGGGTCTCAGCCCCATTGTAAACGGACATGTTTTAAAGAGTTCTTCTGAAGGCGACCTGAAAAATGGGCCGGCGTGGAGTGCATTCATGTTTACCGGTCAGCCACCAGGACCAGTGGGAAGGACCGAAGGGATCAGTTAAAGTTGAATTTAAAGTGGAAATTGCCTGAGCTAAAAGGGTTAAACTCAAAAGGCCATTGCTGGTGGTGTCCGGAGCCTTGCTGGTTCTCGGGGTCCAGAGGGTGTCTTCTCCAGCGTCCACCTTCTGACGCATCTCTGAAAGAGGCAAAGAAAGGATCAGAGGCAGCTGTATACAAGCCTTTTTACTGTGAAGGATCCCTTGAAATAGGTCAAGCGTTAGGGAACCCCCCTGCTGCAACTGATTATGTCTACGATTCACAGTCCATTAGTGGTCAAAGAGAGGATGTCCTCCTTACTCAGTGGTGGTCGGTGAGAATGCCTATTACAGTGGTGGTCAGTGTAGGGCATCCATACTTTGGGGGACAATGGTGGTTAGTGGGAGGAATATTCCCATTACAGACAGCTAACATGAGCATTAATGGGCCTGTGCTGATCACATGCCCTCTCTCTCAAGCAAAAAAAAAAAAACCCCAAAACTAGCAATACACACCAAACTGAGCATGTACAGAGTGTCTCCACAGGATATGTCTTATCGGGAGATAAGAGGGGGGCACTGGAAGAAGGGGAGGATCAGAGAAGTCAGTATTAAACAGCCTTTTTACACAATGCGGAGAATTAACTCCTTAGGTTCCACAGTGGGTATAACAAGCATGCTTTACTGCATCTACAGACTGATTGTACTGTTGTGGGGTTTAGGGACACTTTAAAAGCATAGCTCACCTTTACCTGTATAGGCAGGGTTTTTTTTAGTAAAGGGCATCTAAAAGCAAACTGTGCAGCTTTGATTAAAGTTGGATAATGCCTTTGCTATAGGTGTAGGCCATTTACATACCTCCCAAAGCCAAGTTGAAAAACTCAAGAAGATGGCATCATTTCGTCTTGCCTTGTTGCTAGGACGTTGCTAAGAAACTCCCAGCCGATAGTGCTCACCCCTACCATCACAGAATCAAGCTCTCAAATTCCTATACATGAGTAGTCCACTATTCCTTCCATCACAGCATCGCTGAGCTGTGACAGGGATGAGAGAGAGCGCATGCAGAGGGTTTGAATGGGCTGGGAGTGTCTTACCAACCTTCCAAGCAACAAAGCAGGGTGTGATGGTGCCACCTCTGGGAGGTATTCAGGCAGACTTCAAGGAGGTACATACAGTTATTGACCCACACCTAGAACAAAGGCACTTTGGCCAAAGCACAGTTTTTTTTTTTTTTATCTACAGGCCCCCCCCCCCCCTCACCTGGATAGGCAGTTTTTTTTGGTAAAGATGAACTAAACCTTTACTCAATACCCTTAAAAATGTACCTTCAAGTTCTCCAATCAGTGGAGAGCATGTGTTTTACTGAATGCATAGCTAGAAGCCTGATTTAGCAGGGGTTGTGTTGGACCTCAGCAGAGAGACTACTGCTTCCACATAGACAGCTTGAAAAGCAGTTTTGTTTTTTTGTATCCAGTAAATAGAAAATCTTACTACTAAAACTCACTAATGATTTACTAACAGCTAAAACCAATGGCCACTACTCCGTACTCTTACTACTCGACCTCTCTGCAGGTTTTGATACAGTTGACCATCCCCTCCTCATCAAAAAACTCCACTCTCTTGGCCTCAGAGACTCTGCTCTCTCCTGGTTCTCCTCCTACCTATCTCAGCACTCCTTCAGCGTTACCTATAACTCTGTCTCCTCCTCTCCACTCTCTCTTTCTGTAGGGGTCCCTCAAGGTTCTGTCCTTGGACCCCTTCTTTTCTCCATCTACACCTCCTCCCTTGGTCACTTGATAAACTCCCATGGCTTCAATTACCATCTCTATGCTGACCACACACAAATCTATCTTTCTACCCCTCACCTCACCCCCTCAGTCTCCACTCGTATCACTAGCCTACTAAGCGACATATCGGCATGGATGTCACTCCACTTTCTCAAACTCAATCTTTCCAAAACTGAGCTCATACTATTCCCTCCAGCCCATGCCCCCTCCCCTGACTTCTCCATCAGGATCAATAATACAATCATCAGCCCCCCCCCCCCCCTCATGCCAGGGTACTAGGTGTAATCCTAGACTCCCATCTGTCCTTTCAGCCCCAAATCCAATCACTGTCCAAATCTTGTAGACTTCACCTCCGCAACATCTCCAAGATACGTCCGTTCCTAACCTCTGAAACCACTAAGCAACTTATTCACTCTCTGGTTATATCTCGCCTTGACTACTGTAACTCCCTCCTCATTGGCTGACCTCATCGCAGGCTATCCCCTCTTCAGTCTCATGAATGCTGCTGCCAGACCCATCCACCTTACTAACCGTTCTGTATCTGCCACCCCCTCTCTGCCAATCCCTCCACTGACCTCCACTCAGTGTCCTCCACCCCTCTCTGCCAATCCCTCCACTGGCCTCCACTTAGTGTCCTCCACCCCTCTCTGCCAATCCCTACACTGACCTCCACTCAGTGTCCTCCACCCCTCTCTGCCAATCCCTCCACTGGCCTTCACTCAGTGTCCTCCACCCCTCTCTGCCAATCCCTCCACTGGCTTCCCATTGCCCAACGAATAAAAAATTCAAAACATTAACAACAACATATAAAGCCATTTATAACTTTGACCCAAATTACATCACCAATCTAGTCTCCAAATATTACCCAAACCGTCCTCTCTGATCCTCACATGACCTCCTGCTCTCTAGCTCCCTTATCTCCTCCTCCCATGCTCGTCTCCAGGACTTCCCCAGAGCATCCCCCATCCTCTGGAACTCTCTACCCCAATTTATCAGACTATCACCTACCCTGCTCACTTTTAGGCGATCTCTGAAACCCTATCTCTTCAGGGAAGCCTATCCTGCCCTCAGCTAATAATGGAATCTTCTATTCCTCCAACCAGTCCATCCCCCACAGTTATTACCTTTTGTACCACTAGTCCTTCCCTCTTAGATTGTAAGCTCCAAGGATCAGGCCCTCCTAACCCTCTAGTATTGAACTGTATTGTGTTGCTGTATTGTCTCCCCGTTATATTGTAAACCGCTGAGCAAACTGTTGGCGCTATAAAAATCTTGTATAATAATAATAATAATAATAATAATATTACACTACAGGAAGCAGGAGTCTTTACCTGGGTCTGTTAACACTTCTTTGGCAGCTGCAATATCGATGAATTTCTTCTCGGCTTCTCTTTTTTCCTCCTCTGACTGAAAGTTGTCTGGGTGCCACTGCTGTGCCAACTTCCTGTATGCTTTGATCACTTCCTGTTTGTTGGCGTTTCTATGAGAATGTAATGCTAAAGTCACCACAGTCCGTCCTCACAACACACGTACCATGTATGCAGATCAATACGGTTGCTATGGAGGTTACCTCTTCACGCCCAGGATTTTGTAGTAATCTCGTTTCCGGGATTGTTTGAGCAGTTTCTGAGCTCTCTCCAGACCTTCCTTTATTTCCTCGTTCTCCCCCGTCCAGTTCTTTTGCTTGCTGGAAATCTTCCACCGCTGCCAGAGGGAAGACAGCAAAATTGGGGAAAAAGTTTATTTCAGACAATGGAAGAAGTTCAGCAGAGTCCACTGAAGGCTGAAGTGTTATGCATGAATTAAATATCTTGTTTTCCACCCCACTCCCCCCCCCCAGATCAACATGCAATCAAGATGTTTCAATTGAATAATTTTGTTTTCAAGAAATACTACTTTTGAGTCCGAGAAATGTCATTACTGGGTCCGTCTGCTGGTCATTGCTCCCAGTTTGATGAAAGGGGCCAGCAGCACCCTGCCTTGGATTTCCTTTATATAAAAGAACACGTCCCCAGGATCTGCTTACCCAGATTGATTTTTAAATTTGACAACTCTCCATAGTATTTCATTATTTTCATTAAATTGGATAATGTCAGCCTAGGATTGACCACATAGAATAGCATGTCATCAGCATACACTGCAACCTTGTGTTCTGTCTCTCCGATCTGAATCCCTATTTAAATCTGTAGTATTCCTTGCTGTTGCTAAAAGAGGTTCTAAAGATAATACAAACAACAAAGATGAAAGCAGGCACCCCTGCCTTGTACTGTTATACATCTTAAAGAATTCCGATAACGCACCATTGACCTTTACTGCTGCAGAGGGTTGACTATATAGCTTCCTTATCCACTAGCCTTACCCTGGAATCTCTTTAGACATGCATGCTCTTCCCGGCTGACAACTGGGTGTTCTAGACCAGCCTTTTTCAACCAGGCTACCCAGGCACCAGGCTTCTAAAAGTTGCCCCAAAAATTGTGTACAAGTCAGCAGATGGATCAAGCCTGCCTTTACGTATACAAAGCCACAGGTTCTCATTGTGCACTTTTATGACCTTCTAGCTGCCGGAGTCCTACCAACCAATGACATCATCAGCTGATAAGGAGGATGTCGGGTGCCTGAACAGCAACCTAGTTTACTACTCCCCTGCCCCTCTGTGTCAGCACTGGGGTCACATTAGCTGAGTGAGGGAGAGAAACTGAGGAAGAAATGCTGGAATACTAGTCAGTACCAGTGTGCAAAGGTATATTTGCTTTGGAAGAATAAATCATCTCTAACGTTGGGTGTCCTACGTATGTGGATGTTGCTGCGTTTATATAAAACAATTAGAAGTTTTTTTTTATATTTTAGAATGAGGTGCCTTGAGATTATGCTGAAGTTTTAAGGGTGCCTTGAAAAAAAAAAAAAAAAAAAAAGTGAGAAACACTGAGAGGGGCTAACGCGTTTCAGCTATACAGCACTTTGAGAAACACTGTTCTAGACTTTAACTGTGCAGACTGCTGATCAGTTGCTTGAGCATACACATCTAAAAGGATGAAGACGATCTGTTCTTTCACATAATGCTCAGGAACAAAAATGAATGAAGGCAGAGGAAGCCAATCGCTGTCAGAATTGGGCAATGACAGTATGGATCAGGAAGAGAGGGTAGATTATTATATTATTATTATACAGGATTTATATAGCGCCAACGGGAGACAATACAGCAACAATACAGTTCAATACAAGAGGGTTAGGAGGGCCCTGCTGCTTGGAGCTTACAATCTAGGAGGGAGGGAATGTTGACCAAACAGGAAATGAAAGGCAGAAACAGCTTGTAACCTGGTATGCTCTTCTGGTTCTCTTTATTGGTTACATGACATAAATACAGTGTGGGAGATGCTAACACGTTTCAGCTATACAGCATTCCTCATAGCATACTATGCTTTAAAAAAAGACAATGGCCACTGCCACAACTAGTTGCGGAGCCGGGACTATAAATAATTAAAAGCAATTAATATACAAATGATTGCACATGGAGGGAACCACTAAACAGCTCATCCACTCGCTCATCATATCACGACTCGATTACTGTAACTCCCTCCTCACTGGCCTGCCTCGCCGCTGGCTATCCCCGCTTCAGTCCATCCTGAATACGGCTGCCAGACTCATTCACCTTTCCAACCGCTCTGTCTCCCCCACCCCCCTCTGCCAATCCCTCCACTGGCTTCCGATTGCGCAACGGATCAAATTCAAAATCCTAACACTGACGTACAAAGCTGTCCACCATACTGCCCCGAACTACATCACTGACTGACTAATATCCAAGTACCGCCCAACACGCACACTCCGCTCCTCACAAGACCTCCTTCTCTCTAATTCCCTGGTCTCCTCCTCCCATGCCCGCCTCCAGGACTTCTCCAGGGTGTCACCCATCCTCTGGAACTCCCTGCCCCAACCCATCAGATTATCACCTACTCTCCTCTCCTTTAGGCGCACCCTGAAAACCCATCTCTTCAGGGAAGCCTACCCCACCCCCTGCTAACTTGCCGACCTCCTCCACTCTTCCTACCACTCCATCCCCCACAGCTATCTCCTCCTGTACCACCATCCCCTCCCTCCTAGATTGTAAGCTCCAAAGAGCAGGGCCCTCGATCCCCTCATGTTTTGCATTGTATTGATATTGTTCTGTCTCATGTATTGTCTCCCATTGTAATGTACAGCGCTGAGCGAACTATTGGCGCTTTATAAATACTGTATAATAATGATAACAACAACTAACAGAGTGATGTAAAACGATATCATTTGAAAAGACAATAGAATAATAATAGCTAATCTTTGGAAGGGTTGCAGTCGGAGTCCAGTGGTGGCCAATTCGGGATTAGTAAAAATGTCATTAATACGGGTGTTAAATATTTTTATCCTGTCCAGGCTAGAAGTGGGGCTGTCGATATTTTCCAAAATGTTGTAGAGATGGAGCTTCTGAAACACGGAGACAGCCAAAAAAACCCTAATGTGTACAAAGCTGAATCTTCAGCATTACAAAGGCTAAAGAGAAGAACTTATATTGTCGTCTGCCAGGTGGATAAGGAGGGCTCCATTGTGATTCTGGATTCAGAGAGTTATACAGTGAAAGAAATAAGTATTTGCCTAGGGCAGCAGAAAACCTAAATACACCACTGACTAAGAGGTCTTTTTTTGCTGCTGGGGAACAATACCTGCATGGAAAAACACAAAAAGAGCTCTCGGGTTGTGTCATTCATCACTGGCAAACCTTTTATGATCAAACAGTATATTAGCTGTAATACTAAGTCAGTGGTTTATGTAATAGTTGTAGGGTTCAGTATGTGAGATGCACCACACACCCTCTGTGATGGGAGTCACTTTGGGTGGGGGGCCCATGGAACACAGCTCACTTTGGAGAGGTAGGGAGACCCCTGTCTCAGCTCCCCATATCCCTATTATGTGCAAGTCACCCCGTGCCTGTTAGGGGTACAGGGTGATCTGTCCTAATATTGGGGTGGGGGGTTATAGATTGTTTAATGCCATTATTCTATTGTGTGTCTTGCTTGGGAGCAAACTATTATGGGATGTATGTGTTTATGTGTATTGGCTTGGTGGGGGGGGGGATGTCTCCAGCAGCCCTCCCTCCTGATGGGACTGTCTGTTGTTGTGTCTCTGGTTACTAAATGTAGATTGCCCCGCCCTGTGACATTATGCAGGGAGGGGGGATTGTTCCCTTGAGTGTATAAAAAAAGCCAGTTCAAGTTTCAAATAAAGAGTTCCATGTTTACACAGATTGGTGTCATCTAGCCTTGTTTGGTCGGTTGTGGTGTCTGTGGTCGGTGTTCGGACAGGGAAGCGGTATTACAACGGAAGTACCCAAGCGCAGACTGGGTCAGTTCCGTTCCGTTACACCCTCTTAGGATTAGAATCTCGGAACATGACAATGACACTGACAACCAGAATGCCAAAAATATTTTCAATGTCTCAAAACATTTCAGAGATGTGCACAATGGAAATCTTGACAGTTTTTAATTTTTTGGCATTGAACAGGTTGTGAAACCTCCGAGAGGTGGAAAGCTACATCTGCAGAGGGAAGTGTGGTGGATTCACACTCTTAATACGAGAGCACCATTTGGTTTAAACAACAGATGGGACCTATTTTTGAAGTAATTTTTCAATTAATGTATTGAGAGGACACAGGAGAGAGGGCAAAAAGTGAGAGGAGTGGAGAGGACACAGGAGAGAGGACAGGAATCACGAGGAGCGGAGAGGACACAGGAGAGAGGACAGGAATCACGAGGAGCGGAGAGGACACAGGAGAGAGGACAGGAATCACGAGGAGCGGAGGGGACACAGGAGAGAGGACAGGAATCACGAGGAGTGGAAAAGACACAGGAGAGAGGGCAGGAAATACGAGGAGCGGAGGGGACACAGGAGAGAGGGCAGGAAGTACGAGGAGCGGAGAGGACACAGGAGAGAGAGCAAGAAGTACGAGGAGCGGAGAGGACAAAGGAGAGAGGGCAGAAAGTACGAGCAGTGGAAAAGACACAGGAGAGGAGATGACAGAACTGTACTGGAGACAGGAGAAGAGAAGATAGAAATAAGATGCATAGGACACAGAAAAGGAGAGCAGTGGACAGAAAAGAGGATAACAAAAGACAATAAATAACAGAAGACAGGAAAGGATAGGACATGTATGAATAGGAGATGAGATGACAGGAAACGAGAGGAGTAGAGAAGACACTGGAAAGGACATCAAAGAGTTCTGGACAAGTGAGAGAACAGCAAATGAGTGGAGTGGAGAGGAGAGGGCAGGGCTGGATTGGAGACAGAGAAAAGAAGTGGAGAGGACATAATGAAAAGACATAGTAAAGGAGAAGAGAACTCAGGGCTGAACTGGAAACAGAAGACAACAGGCCACAAAATATAAAGGAAAATGACCAGAAGTAAGAGGAACGAAAAGGACAAGAAACAGGAGAGGAACGACAAAAGGCATTAAAAGGACAGAATACAAGAAAAGGGAGGCTAGAGGATGGCAGGACACATAGGAGGAGAGGAGAGAAGAGCAAAACACAAAAAAAGGGGACAAACAATATATGAGCATGGAATGAGCAACAAATGATAATGAAAAATGGAAAAGCTGTTAGAAGAGCCAATATACAGAGCCAGACCTCCTCTCTGCACCCACCTTTCTCATAGTCCTCGTTCAGGATATAGGCTTCGGCTCTGTCCTTCAGCACCTGTGGATTGTGAGGGTCTCTCTGATGGGCCTCTGTACATGTCCTAATAGCCGCCTCTGTGTGCTGACTCTACATGTCACGGGATACAAAGGTTACACTTCATTATGGTATACATCTCAGAAACCTTTTGTATGACCCTAAACACAACTATAGGACACACCTTAGACAAGCAGTGACAGATCCGCTCTTTTGCTTGTTTCCTGTAAATTTCCACATTGGGTTCCGTTTTTATGGCAGCTTCAAATTTTTCTACAGCAGCTTCATACCTGCAGAAAACACACTGCCAGTAAATCAGTGAGAGTGACCGGAGTACGGCGGAAAGCCGGACCACACAGTGGCCACTACTACATCAGACAAAAACAAAACACTTCACCATATCATAGCAAACCAAACCTGTATTTGTCTTTTTATTGTCTATCAGCCAAGAACAGACACGTGCCAAATCTCTCCATAGTCCAGCAGAGAAGAAAAAAGTCACTCTTATTTTTTTTTAGTTAAATGTATACACGCAATGGAATCGGGACATGCAACTGTCAACCATTTGATTGATCTTGTACTCTTGCGTTACCTAAGTGTACATGTTCAAGCTCCAGGTAAAATGTCACCAGAGAAACAACACTCTGGAATTATTTTGAGCAAATATCTGCATGGAGTTTGTATGTTCTCCTCAGCTATTTGCTGGTTTCCTCCCACAAGCCACAGTCATGATGGCAGGATAACCCCCCTACAGCCAGAGACAGATGTGCAAGTTTCTCTATAAAGTTCTAATATGTTGGTATCAATACTGTGACGGGGGTCATTTTGGGTGGGGGCCTCATGGAACACAGCTCACTTTGGAGAGGTGGGGAGACCCCTGTCTCAGCTCTCCATATCCCTATTATGTGTAAGTCACCCTGTGCCTGTTAGGGGTACAGGGTGATCTGTCCTAATATTGTGTAGACATGTATAGGTGGGGTGGGGGGTTGTTGATAGTTTAATGCCATGTGGTTGCATCCCATTGTTCTATTGTGTGTCTTGCTTGGGAGCAAACTATTATGAGATGTATGTGTGTCTATGTGTATCAGCTTAGTGGGGGGGGGGGGGGGGGGGTCTCCAGCAGCCCTCCCTCCTGATGGGACTGTCTGCTGGTGTGAAGTTTGAATACCTGTGTGTCTTTTGTTGCTAAGTGTAGGTTGCCTCGCCCTGTGTCATTATGCAGGGAGGGGGAATTGTCCGCTGAGTGTATAAAAAGCCAGTTTGAGTTTCAAATAAAGAGTTCCATGTTCAGACAGACTGGTGTCGTCTAGTCTTGTATGGTCGGCTGTGGTTGGTGTTCGGACAGGGAAGCGGTATTCTAACGGAAGTACCCAAAGTGCAGTCTGGGGTCGGTTCCGTTACAAATACATTCAATAAATACAGTATAGAAAAATAATCAGCAGTTCTCTAGGGCAGTATCTCCAAACTTTTTGAATCTTAAAATAAAAAAAATGTGCATTTATTATTTCCTCCCCCCCATGAGCCTGGAAAGCATTGCACCCCTGATCTGAGGTGCAATGCCAGACTCCAGCAGACAAGGTGAATTTATCCTCTCAGTTCACAGTTAACCCTTGCTAAAAATGAATATATCTACAGTTCACAGTACAACAGCCACACCACAGCTCTGGTCAGTGAGATAAAGGGCCCACTTAAACTGGTGGTCAATGGAAAGAGTGACCTGTTAGACTGGTGGTCAGTGGATTGTCCAATACAGTAGTGGTCAGTGTAGTGCCCCCATAGATTGCAGGACAGCGGGAAGAATTCTTTTTACCTTGGTAATCATTAGAAGGATGACTCCTTATGGAAAACTAACATGTTTGTTGGTGTCAGTGGTCACTTATGTGAGGAACATAAAAGAAGAATCTACACTGGTCCCATACCTCTGGTTCTGCCAAGACTTTACGGACACCTTCAGGTGGAAGGTCAGTGAATCTTTGCCCACTGTTCAAGGAACAGTGGTTGAAAAAGGCAACTCTAGGATGAAAGTTGGTTGGCTTCTAGTTTCTGTTCATGTTGGTAGGAAGGCAAGTGCTCAGAAACTCACCTCTGGTCTCGGATTAGTTCTTCAGCTGATTCTAGCTGTCTGGAGAGCTTCTTGACTTGTTTATAATGAGAGAAGCAATCTTTGTCATCCTGATCCAGCTTCAGACACTCTCGCACTTGGCTAAAATAGGAACACAAAAATTGCAATCTTCAAATTCAATATATAAACAGTATATTCACCACGCAAGTGTGATGTGAAAATACAGAAGACCTGACACCTGAAAGTGCACAATATATCACTCACCTAAATAAAGGAGTACATAAAATGTGTAAACATGCAGCTGCCCTAATAGTGAAAAATCAAATAAACACCTCATTGTCACAAAAATTGCAATGTTGTAGTAACACAGTAAGTAACTAAAACGGTCGATGGTCTTCTTCACTGTCAACATCCCTATAAAGCACAAGAGCAGAGCTGGAACAGATCCCTCACACTTCACACACGTCTCCTAGTATCCTGTGGTCTCTCTCACCTCTGACTTTCTTCACTCTTTACGATGGTAAAGTAGATCCTTGCAATAAATAAATATTCTCCACATTACTCTCCTAATTCCCCATGGTGGAACAGATCCCTGACCTCAGACTCTCCCTCACGTTACCCCCATGGTGTAGTCTCTCATGGTATAATGAATCTTCTCCACATTACTCTCCTCCTTCTCCATGGTGGAACAGAACCCTGACCTCAGACTCTCCCTCATGTTACCCAATGGTGTAGTCGCTCATGGTATAGTGAATCTTCTTCACGTTACTCTCCTCCTTCCCCATGGTGGAACAGATCCCTGACCTCAGACTCTCCCTCATGTTACCCAGTGGTGTAGTCCCTCATGGTATAGTGAATCTTCTTCACGTTACTCTCCTCCTTCCCCATGGTGGAACAGATCCCTGACCTCAGACTCTCCCTCATGTTACTCAATGGTGTAGTCCCTCATGGTATAATGAATCTACTCCACGTTACTCTCCTTCTTCCCCCATGGTGAAACAGATCCCTGACTCCAGACTCTCCTTCATGTTACCTGTTACGGATCCACACTGCATACACTTGCCCACGGCGACTAGCTAACCGAGGCATGCATGTCCGGCCCTGACTTGGGGGTAAGACGGAATGAGGGGGACTTACTTTGAACATAGACTGGCTGTGATACACTTTCACAGCCCGCACTACCTCTGGCCACCACTAGAGGGAGACTCCACTCCAATCCAGCTTGCTGACCACACACAGGCAGATACGAATCTTATATACAATCTGGTGGACTCTAAGAGTTGGGGAGCAGTCTAGCAATTGGCACACCCTTCTAGGATTCCTCCAGCTATCCTACAAGCTAGAACCCCGGTGTTAATCACTCTTCCACTGTCGACACACCCCCACAACAAACGATAGCTTGCCACCACCCAACAGTTTGTCCGCAGTCTGGTCTGCTGGGCCACCACACACAGATCTCCGTCTGGCAGATCTGCTACTTTACAATCTGCCAACACACAGTGTAATTGCATACAGATTGGCAATGAACTTAGACCGAGCACATAGACACTACCATACAACAATCTCTCCGGAGATATGAGCCTGAGCTTAAGTACCCAGAAGTCACTAATTAATTTTATGATTTAATATCCCAAAAGTGGGCAGTGCATAAAATATGTACAAAGAAAAAAGATTTACATATAATACAGAAAATACAAAAAGACACACAATTGGCTATTCACTATAAAAGGGAATAAAAAACAGAAATAAAACTTTTACCAATAGTTATCCTGCGACTGGAGCAAGTCAAAGAAAGTCCATGATTCGTCAATCAAATAAAACTGGCTTCGTACGAATCACCCCGTCTATATCTCAGGGTCCTCAATTTATTGAAATATGGACATAAGCTGGACATTAGCCCTTGGCCAATCAACCCTGGGGGGTGTTCCTGTTCACGCCCACAGGACGTTCTGGATTCTGAAATGCCCAAAGTTGATTGGACCAGGAACGGTTTGAATCACCAAGTCAGGGATAGAATTTCTGACACCAGCGCATTAGTCCGATCGCGACAGTATCAATCGCTGTTCAGCTGTCACAACCAGGCGCCATATAACAGTTTTCTTCCTTTCTCTGGGATTCTACAGAGGCTACAAATACAGTTTTACATGCAGATGTAGCCTACAGTGTGTCCAATCAAAAGGAAGTATTTTCATTTCTCTGCAGCTAATATTTTAGCTTTTATGAGAGATGAAATAGACTCCTCTGATCTGTGGATATAAATCAGAGCTGACAGACAAATCAGAGCCACTCCTGGTCTCCTGCTGCTTCAAGAAGCCTAAATGGCTGGAGCTCTTCTTTTAGATTTCAAGAAGGTGGCAAACTCTGGCTACATAGGTAACAATGTTTTATTGGCATCCAGGTGTCACCTCCAGCCTAGAAGCTGCTCTGTCCTTTCAGATGCTAATTGGTGAACATATGTCTCTGACTGAACACTTATCTGTAATAACATGGAATGAAACTAAATTTACAATGACATATTTCTATTGATTACATCACATCTCAACTACTCGAATCTTTCATTTATGTCACATTACCCAATGGTGTAGTCCCTCATGGTATAGTGAATCTTCTCCACTTTACTTTCCTCCTTCTCCGTAGTGGAACAGATCCCTGACCTCAGACTCTCCCTCATGTTACCCAATGGTGTAGTCCCTCATGCTGCATTTTATCGTAGAGCACTGTCCTGATTTGCAATGCAATGTCGGGCAGCACAGCACATTGCAGTACCCAAAATGGCAGTTAATGAAGTGTACATTTTGTGCACTTCCAATAAAACTAATACAAAAAAAAAGGAGCAGTGTAATGCACTGATTCGCGCACCACACTGCCCCCTAAGCAGCTGGTATTGTAAAGCAACTGGGGCACTGAATTGCTCCAGCTGCTTTGCAATTTACAGATGCATAGTGAATTCACCGTTAGTAGATAATCCCCATGTGTTCCCCCATCATATATTAGATCCGTTTCGCTAAAACTCTCGAAGTGCTTAATCTCAATATATTAGATCCTTCCCACAATTTCCCCCATGATGTAGGACACTCCATGTGCTCACCTACACTATCCACTTGACCTGCCAATGTACATACACTAGAATGCCAAAAGTATTGGTCCGCCTGCCTTTACACGCACATGAACTCTAATGGCCTTCCAGTCTTAGTCCGTAGGGTTCAATATTGAGTTGGCCCCGCCCTTTGCAGCTATAACAGCTGCAAAAGGGCGGCTCTTCTGGGAAGCTCTTCTGGGAAGGCTGTCCACAAGGTTTAGGAGGGTGTCTATGGGAAGGTTGGACCATTCTTCCAGAAGCACATTTGTCAGGTCAGGCACTGATGTCGGGGGAGGAGGCATGGCTCGCAGTCTCCGCTCTAATTCATCCCAAAGGTGTTCTATGGGGTTGAGGTCAGGACTCTGTGCAGGACAGTCAAGTTCCTCCACCCCAAACTGGCTCCTCCATGTCTTTATGGGCCTTGCTTTGTGCACTGGTGTGCAGTCATGTTGGAACAGGAAGGGGCCATCCCCAAACTCTTCCCACAAAGTTGGGAGCATGAAATTATCCAAAATGTCGCCTTAAGAGTTCCCTTCACTGTAACTAGGGGGCCAAGCCCAACCCCTGAAAAACAACCCCACACCATAATCCCCCCTCCACCAAACTTTACACTTGGCACAATGCAGTCAGGCAAGTACCGTTCTCCTGGCAACCGCCAAACCCAGACACATCCATCGGATTGCCAGACAGAGAAGCGTGATTGGTCATTCCAGAGAACTCGTCTGCACTGCTCTTGAGTCCAGTGGCGGCATGCTTTACACCACTGCATCCGACACTTTGCATTGCACTTGGTGATGGAAGGCTTGGATGCAGCTGCTCGGCCATGGAAACCCATTCCATCAAGCTCTCTACGCACTGTTGTTGTGCTCATCTGAAGGTCACACCAAGTTTGGATGTCTTTAGCTATTGACTCTGCATACAGTTGGAGACTTCTGCGCACTGTGAGCTTCAGCATGCGCTGACCCCACTCTGTCATGTGACGTGGCCTACCACTTGGTGGCTGAGTTGCCGTTGTTCCCAGTTGCTTCCACTTTGTTATAATCCCACTAACAGTTGAGCGTGGAATATTTAGTAGCCAGGAAATGTCACGGATGGACTTATTGCACAGGTGACAACCTATCACGGGACCACGCTTGGAGTTACTGAGCTCCTGAGAGCGACCCATTCTTTCACAAATGTTTGTAGAAGCCGTCTGCATGCCTAGGGGCTTGATTGTATACACCTGTGTCCATGGAGGGGATTGGAACACCTGAATCACATGATTTGGAGGGCTGGCAATATAGTGTATACAATACAGGTTTCAATTGGTACACCAGGATAATGCCTGCAGCTGCAGGCATCATCCCAGTATCATTTTTTCAGGCGGCAACCGGCTTTTTTTTATAAAAGCCATCCAAGAGGCTGATTAGTGCTGGATTGGTTATACAGGTGACAGTCGGGGTCCTGGAACTGAAGCTGGCTGAAAGGTCTCAGATGAGCTCTATAGTGTACGAAATCAGAAGTGACGAGTACTGTTGTTACTTCCAGTTTCCTGGGAAATACACAGCGCCATTTTTAAATCTTGAAAGCAATTGATCACACTGATCTTGATGTGATCAGATGCTTTAAAGGGAACAGGAGAGGTCTGGAGTCTAATAAATCCCAGATCTCTTTATAAAGAGCATCTGTCACTGCCTATTGCTGTCATAAGGGATGTTTACACTCCTTGTGACAGCAGAAATAGTGATTATAAAAAAAAAACGTAAAAGAAACAATGTTAAAAAAAAAAAAGAAAAATCTTTAAAGCCCACCCCCGTCCGCCCGTGCTAAGGCAAACAAACATGATGGTCCAGCATGCATATGTAAAGGGTGATGGCACCACATATGAGGTATTGCCGTGAACATCAGAGCGACAGCAATAATTCCAGCACCAGACCTCCTCTGTAACTCCAGACTGGTAACTTTTAAAGGCTCACAAAGCACCGCTCATGGAGAATTTTATATACCATAGTTTGCCACCATTCCACAAGCGTGCACAATCCTAAAGCTTGACATATTTGGTATCTATTTACTCGGCGTAACATCATATATTTTAATAAAAATTTGTGTATTATATTGTGTTTGTGCGCAAACTCATTAAAGTTTATTTTCTTCCCAAAAAACTGCATTTGAAAAACCACTGCACAAATACCATGCGACATAAAAAATTACAATTGAGGAAAGTGTAAAGATAGTGCTGGACCCGCAAGTACACTCCACTACTATGGTCATCTTAACCCCTTCACTCCTAAGGGTAAAACAAATCTTAATGCCTAAGCACACTTTTGCAATTTTGACATGTGTTAGCAAATCCATACATGTCATCACAACTACTTTGTGTATCCAGGTGGATTATACCTTGTTTTTTTTTCAGGACAAGTTGGGCTTTCATTTGGTGGTAAATGATAATGGAAATCTCCTGATTTTTTATTATTATCAAAGGAAAACTGCCGCAAAATGTGAAAAAACACCATTTTTTTTTTTTTTTTTTTTTAAATTTAGCTCTAGATTTCTTGCTGCTACCATAAACTTCCACCAAAGAACAACCTAAAATAATTTCTTCTCCTGGCGATCGCAGCAATGCGTATGTAAGTTGTTGCTTGTACCCATAGCACAGCCCAGAAACAATAGTGCGCGTTTTGTTTTTATTTATCCTGCCACTGACATGGATATGAATTTAAAAATTAAAAAATAAAAAAAAAAATACTGACCCGGACCTTGACCCAAACATCAACCCTGGCAGTGACCTAGATCTAACCTTTATCAAAAACCTCTAGGGGTGTTTTAAATTTTTTATTTTTTTTGTTATTATTTTTACTATTATTATTAATAATAATTTGTATTTATTTATTTTTTTACACACACTTGGTTTTTTTTTTCTCTCTGAAAGGACAGATAGAGCTACGACGTAGCTCTTTCCTCCATTCAGAGAGTAAAAACACTTGGTGGGCTTCACAGTGACTGTTCAGAGGCTATCACAGCGATCAGGTGACCTGGAATTGGGCGTTCCGGGTCCTAATCATTAGAACAGGATCCAAGACTTTCAGTGAGACCCTGGTCTCTGTGCTGGGAGTGTGCCATGCGGCACGATCCCAGCACATACAGATACGCAACTTAGCGGCCCCACGGAAAAAAGGCCAGTGCGGTGATGCTGCGTATGTGCATACAGTCAGCGTAAAGGGGCTAAGGTATTAATTTTGGTGTAAATGATCTGGATCCTGGGCAGGCAGCTTCTACACCCCCCAGAGGATCTCCACAGTCTCCCCAGCTTTAAAATAGAGTCGAATAATAAAAAAGCACTTGACACCTCTACTAAATTCTCCCATATCTGGGCCTGCTGGACTCACTTCATAACTACCCCTACATACCAGTCCCTCATGAACCAACCTACCTGATTTAATTTAACTCTCCGGTGGGTGCTACTCCATTACACTAGATCATATGGTAGGCAACCTTCTTCCCTTCAGGGTTTTATCCCCTTACTTGACCTGGGTGATAGCCTAATGCTTAAACTCACCCACGTAAGACCCTTGGTATTGATAATACAAACCCCGCTTGTTCACCCCCCCCCCTCTTTTTTTTTTTTTCTCTCCCCCTTCTTTTTCTCTCTTCTTTCCTTCTTGTTACACGCTCAGATAGCTTTTTGATACCTCTCAAGAGAACATTAGGCATGCTAATAACCTACTTTCTCCACTTGCACCAGCGGCTCTCACGACGATTTAAGTTTGTTTACAGACACCTCCATTCCCGTAAGACTCTGGCCTCGTCTTCAGCACTTGTGCCGCATCTACCCTCCCTCCCGTTACAGCTCCGCAGTGAGAATTGCACACATAGGAGGTTCAGTGCGGTTGCATTCCCGACCACATTACTGGAACGCCTGAGTATTACAAACCTTACCCTGTCGTTGATTAGTACAATAACGTTGCATATATTTCTTTTGCAAGAGTCTTCTTGCTTTTTCATGGTATGCATTGCCAAATGTCGTATCTTAGTATCATTTGCATTTCTTCTGTATCATTATGTACTTCGTCAATAAATGTTTTTTTGAAAAAAAAAATAAATAAATAAAAAAAAAAAATTACAAAACCCATCACTTTAGGGCTCCATGTACACTGCAACTGATAAACTCACGTTTAGGAGCTGTTCGGCGTTTTTTTCAGCAGCCCCTGAACTCCCCCTAATGTTTTCCTATGTGTCCGTGTACACATCGTCCTTTACAGGCAGTTGAGTTTACAGTCGTTTTTTTTTTGAACGCAGAAAACTTGCGTTCAGCAGTTGATTTTTATCAGCGTTTCAAAACGCTAGTAAACACGTATAAACGCAGCTAACGGCGTTTATAGGTATTTACATTTGAAATTGTTTTTTAACTCTTCCATTTCCAGATGCTGTCCAGAGCCTTTTTTCATCATGAAAAATGCATGCAAAGCGTTTTCCCTGTACTCAAATGGACCCGGTACTCAAATGGACCCGGTACACCATACTTTGAGGTTTTGCATAAAAAACTATGTTACACACGGCTGCAATAATTTCTGCACAGAAATGAGCCAGAACATCCAAACACCACAATAAAAAAAAAAGCTAATCTCAACACATACTGCTCTCTCTGCTTCTGCTCTCTCTATTTCTCTCAAAATGTCTGAAAAATAGTAAATTTTTTACTGTTTTTCAGTGCATTCTGGGCATTTTAGAAGGTCTCCTGAGGTTATCTTTAACCACCTCCCGCCCGCCATATAGTAATATGACGGGCGCAAGGTGGTTCTCTCGTTCTAGGAGGACGTCATATGATGTCCTCCCATTCTCACTGTGCATGGGCGGCTCAGGGAGTGCGCAGCGCGCGGTGATCGGCGGTGCGCTGTGTCCCTCAGACACAGCGGATCACCGATAACGGAAAGAGCTGGAGATGTCGGCTCCGTCATGTGATCAGCTGTGTCCAATCACAGCTGATCACATGTAAACAGGGAAATGCCGGTTATAGCATTTCTCTCCTCTCGAGCTGTCACGCCGACAGAGGAGAGGAGAGCCGGTAATCAGCTTTCCGCGGAGGGGACATGTACACTGATCATCAGGGCACTGATGATCAGTGTAGCTCCAGCAGTGCAACCTGTCAGTGCTCATCAGTGCCTCGTGCCAGTGCCCATCAGTGCCACATATCAGTGCACATCAATGCCACATATCAGTGTCTACCAGTGCACATCAATGCCACATATCAGTGCCCATCTGAGCTGCCTTTCAGTGTCACCCATCAGTGCCAGTCAGTGCCACCTATCAATGCCAATCAGTGCTGCCAATCAGTGCCGCCTAACAGTGCCAGTCAGTGCCGCCTAACAGTGCCATATATCAGTGCTGCCTTTCAGTGCCAGTCAGTGATGCCTGTCAATACACATCAGTGCCACCTACCAGTGCCGCCTCATTAGTGCCCATCAGTGCAGCCTATCAGTGCCCATCACTGCACCCTCATTAGCGCACATCAGTGAAGGAGAAAAATCACTTATTTACAAAATTTTATAACAAAAACTAAGAAAAAACATTTTTTTTTTTCAAAATTTTCAGTGGTTTTTGGTTTGTTTAAGAAAAAATAAAAAACCCAGAGGTGATTAAATACCACCAAAAGAAAACTCTGTCACAAAAAAATGATAAAAATGTCATATGGGTACAGTGTTGTTTGACTGCGCAATTGTCATTCAAAGTGCGACAGTGCTGTAAGCTGGAAATTGGCCTGGGCAGGAAGGGGGTATAAGTGCCCTGTAGGCGAGGGGTTAAAAAACGCTTCTAAACGCAAACGCGCATATTCACGTTATGCAAACACGGCTAAACAGACGTTTTTTTTTAACCTATGTTTTTCAGCAGTCAGTTTCCATCGTTCAGAAGTGTCCCGTGTACATGGGGCCTCATTCTCTCTTTAATTGGATATAATAGATCCTTCCCACGTCTCCCCATGGCGTAATACATCCTCCTCACCTCAGGCTCTCCTCGTGCTCTCCCATTGTGTAGTAAAGGCGGCTGAGTTTGAGGAAGGCGGCTCTGTTGTCATTCCGGAGTTTGGTTGTTGGCTTGAGGTCCTGGATGGCCTTGTTCAGATCTCCAATTCTGAGATAACACTCAGACCTCAGCTCCCGAACACTGGGATCCCAAGGAGAAAACTAAAAATTCAAGATAAATAAAAACTTCAGTGGTAGTACTGTAGAACATTAAAAATCACAAGCTATATACTGTAAATTTAATACATGAAAAATAAAATTAAAAAAAATACTTAAAATGTAGAAATCAGTCCTGATATGTGTGCAGAGAACATACGGCGACATACATGAATGACATGGATGGAAACAAATACAAATGAATACAGGAAGGGCTCGTTTACACCGTGTCTAATGCGCCATTTTGAGGCAACTTTGTTAAAGCACTCTGAATGCCAATCAAAGCATCCATTATTAAATAAAATGATAAACTTACAGTCTAGTTTACACATTATGTACGCTTCAAAAATGATACCCCATGTCTCTTTCTTGGTGCTTCAAAGCATCTCCAAAGCCTCCATAGAAGTCTATGACAAAGCTAGCTCCCAGCACCTGAAACTTTTGAGAGGCATTTATGCAGCGTTAGCTTCACTTTGTTTTGCAGGTATTGCGGGTATGAGATATCACAGGATGCACTGGGAAACCAACACGCAAACCGGAAAGACATCAGCAGCAGTCACTTTTGGATCACATATGTATATATTCTGGGAGGGTCTGGTGCAGTTATCCCATCCGGTGTGCAGCAGAGCAACTAGCAGATGGCACGAGTGGTGTGCAACATGGGAATGCTATAGCGGAAGGTGAGTCTCAACTGGAGAGAGAGGACTGAGTGTCAGAGGATCAGCAGAGCTGGAGGACCAGAGCACGAGAAACTAGCAGATGTCACACTTGGTGCCCAGCATAGGAGCAAAATAGTGGAAGGTAAGCAGGAACCATAGAAAGAGGAGGATGAGCAAAGCCGGGGGGTTACTAAAGAGCCGGGGATCTGCTGGGCGAGGGTACTAAAGAGCCGGGGATCTGCTGGGCGAGGGTACTAAAGAGCCGGGGATCTGCTGGGCGAGGGTACTAAAGAGCCGGGGATCTGCTGGGCGAGGGTACTAAAGAGCCGGGGATCTGCTGGGCGAGAGTACTAAAGAGCCGGGGATCTGCCGGACGAGGGTACTAAAGAGCCGGGGATCTGCTGGGCGAGGGTACTAAAGAGCCGGGGATCTGCTGGGCGAGGGTACTAAAGAGCCGGGGATCTGCCGGGCGAGGGTACTAAAGAGCCGGGGATCTGCCGGGCGAGGGTACTAAAGAGCCGGGGATCTGCCGGGCGAGGGTACTAAAGAGCCGGGGATCTGCCGGGCGAGGGTACTAAAGAGCCGGGGATCTGCCGGGCGAGGGTACTAAAGAGCCGGGGATCTGCCGGGCGAGGGTACTAAAGAGCCGGGGATCTGCCGGGCGAGGGTACTAAAGAGCCGGGGATCTGCCGGGCGAGGGTACTAAAGAGCCGGGGATCTGCTGGGCGAGGGTACTAAAGAGCCGGGGATCTGCTGGGCGAGGGTACTAAAGAGCCGGGGATCTGCTGGGCGAGGGTACTAAAGAGCCGGGGATCTGCTGGGCGAGGGTACTAAAGAGCCGGGGATCTGCTGGGCGAGGGTACTAAAGAGCCGGGGATCTGCTGGACGAGGGTACTAAAGAGCCGGGGATCTGCTGGACGAGGGTACTAAAGAGCCGGGGATCTGCTGGGCGAGGGTACTAAAGAGCCGGGGATCTGCTGGGCGAGGGTACTAAAGAGCCGGGGATCTGCTGGGCGAGGGTACTAAAGAGCCGGGGATCTGCTGGACAAAGGCACTAATGAGCTGGGGATCTGCTGGACGAAGGCACTAATGAGCTGGGGATCTGCTGGGCGAGGGTACTAAAGAGCCGGGGATCTGCTGGGCGAGGGGTAATAATGAACACACACACTTTGCCAACCTATATTAAAGCTTAAAAAAAAGTACTACAGAAGCATCAAAAAAAGCATGTTGAAGCAGTAGGTGCAAATGAGCCCTAAGAATAATGTAGCAGCAAAGCATGGCAAGAGAGCAGACTTGTACTCTCAGCAGTTTACAGCATAATAAAATAAAATAATAGAATTAATAAAAAAAATAATAAAAATCAGTCAAGATAAAAGCTGTATCTTAACAAGAACAATGTAACCATAACAGAAACAGACACACAGCACTCCAACACCATTGTGTACAACCCCATATTATAATTAACCCCTCGCCCTCCAGAGGATCCCCCCCCCCCCCCCTTCCTGACCAGGCCATTTTTTGCGATACGGCGCTGCGTTACTTTAACTGACAATTGCGCAGTCATGCAATACTGTATGCTAATGAAATTTATGTCCTTTTTTTCCTACATATGGAGCTTCGGTGGTATTTGATCTCCTGTGCGTTTATTTTTTGTGCTATAAACAAATAATGACTGACAATTTTGAAAAAAAAAAAAAAAAAAAACGAAAAACAAAACAATATTTTTGACTTTTTGCTATTAAACATATCCAGTAAAATAAAAAAAAAAAAAAAAAAAAAAAAAAATTACATCATAAATTTAGGCCAAAATGTATTCTGCTCCGTGTCTTTGCTAAAAAAAAAAAAAATCCCAATACGTGTAAATTAAATTGGTTTACGTGAGAGTTATAGCTGGCTCCTCCCATCTTTTATGATAGGCTTGCATTAGATAAAGAAGCACAATGATCCAGTATTGGATCAGGGAAGCACAGTGGCAAAATGGTTAGCACTTCCGCCTGGAAGTACTAGGGTTCAAATCCCACCCACGGCACCACCTGCCTGGAGTTTGCATGTTCTCCCTGTGCCTGCGTGGGTTTCCTCCGGGTACTCCGGTTTCCTCCCACTCTCCAAAGACATGCTGGTAGGTTAACTGGCTCCTGTCTAAATTGTCCCTAGTATGTGTATGTATGAATGTGGGTTAGGGACCTTAGATTGTACGCCCCTTGAGGGTTAGGGACCTTAGATCGTACGCCCCTTGAGCGTTAGGGACCTTAGATCGTGCGCCCCTTCCGGGTTAGGGACCTTAGATCGTGCGCCCCTTGAGGGTTAGGGACCTTAGATTGTACGCCCCTTGAGGGTTAGGGACCTTAGATTGTACGCCCCTTGAGGGTTAGGGACCTTAGATTGTACGCCCCTTGAGGGTTAGGGACCTTAGATTGTACGCCCCTTGAGGGTTAGGGACCTTAGATTGTACGCCCCTTGAGGGTTAGGGACCTTAGATTGTACGCCCCTTGGGGGTTAGGGACCTTAGATTGTACGCCCCTTGAGGGTTAGGGACCTTAGATTGTACGCCCCTTGAGGGTTAGGGACCTTAGATTGTACGCCCCTTGGGGGTTAGGGACCTTAGATCGTACACCCCTTGAGGGTTAGGGACCTTAGATCGTACACCCCTTGAGGGTTAGGGACCTTAGATTGTACGCCCCTTGAGGGTTAGGGACCTTAGATGGTACGCCCCTTGAGGGTTAGGGACCTTAGATGGTACGCCCCTTGAGGGTTAGGGACCTTAGATGGTACGCCCCTTGAGGGTTAGGGACCTTAGATTGTACGCCCCTTGAGGGTTAGGGACCTTAGATTGTACGCCCCTTGAGGGTTAGGGACCTTAGATCGTAGTCCCCTTGAGGGTTAGGGACCTTAGATTGTACACCCCTTGAGGGTTAGGGACGTTAGATTGTACACCCCTTGAGGGTTAGGGACCTTAGATTGTACGCCCCTTGAGGGTTAGGGACCTTAGATTGTACGCCCCTTGAGGGTTAGGGACCTTAGATTGTACGCCCCTTGAGGGTTAGGGACCTTAGATTGTACGCCCCTTGAGGGTTAGGGACCTTAGATTGTACGCCCCTTGAGGGTTAGGGACCTTAGATTGTACACCCCTTGGGGGTTAGGGACCTTAGATTGTACGCCCCTTGGGGGTTAGGGACCTTAGATTGTACGCCCCTTGAGGGTTAGGGACCTTAGATTGTACGCCCCTTGTGGGTTAGGGACCTTAGATTGTACGCCCCTTGTGGGTTAGGGACCTTAGATTGTACGCCCCTTGTGGGTTAGGGACTGATGTGAATGTACAATATATATGTAAATTGATGGCGTTATAGAAGTACCTGTAATACATAATTTACATCTCTGGATCTAAAATAAAGTTTGTCTTTAAAATTGAAAAAGCTTTATTTAAAAATGTCTTTAGCAAGCAGGAACAGAGGGACCCGGGAAGGTAAAATATAAGCTAAATAGTATGGGATCCTCCTGCGCTCATGGGAATAACTGACACAATACAGCTGCTGTCACTTTAACTAATACCAATAAGTGCAAGAAATAAACATAAAATTAGTGAAGCGCTTGTATCTCATGAATACAATCATGTGTCTCCATAAAGTATAATAGTAAATCAAAGTGACCACGATATATATTAAAAATATGTGAACTCCCTCTAGTGGATAGAAAAAATAATGTCAACCGAAATGACTATAATGGCTAAATATCACACATTAAGAACCTAAATATGTAGTGCATAAATCAGATATACTAAACAAAGTATATATACATGAAAACAGAATAATTGGCCACATACAATGGTGTCTAAATCAAACATAACTAATATATGCCATAAGTGAAAAAGACAATATCAAAGGTGAAAAAATATTCCATGCATGTGACTGTGCTTTAAGCTGGAACACACACGTGATCTCCACTTCTAAGTGCAAGTACTCTCCTTCAAATGGCAGCAATGCCTGCTCACCTCCCTTCCTCGACCCACACAGGGCCTCAAAGCAGTTACCACCTCAGTGGTGTAATCCTCTGGCAGACTCCTTAATCCTCCTCCTCTCTTATGCAACTCATAAAAAGACAAGAAAGCCTTCCATAGTGTAGTAAGTTTTAATAGGCAAAGTAAAAAGTGACAAAGTAAACCACTCACATGCTCCTTTCCATAAACAAGCGTTTTTCCCAGCCTGTGGGTAGATATGCATGCACCTGGGGGAATCCAATATGGCCACTGTGTCCGGACATACATACGTCACCAGGAAGTAGACAAACCGACGCGTTGCGTCACGTGCGTCGTGACTTCATCAGGGTACCGCCCCCTGGTGACTCAATGGTATTTATAAAATATAAGCTGCAGCATTTAAATTCAGCCCCCTGTGTCCATTCCTCTCACCGTATAGAGAATCAGAGTCGTCCCCCCTCTATGTCTAGTGAGCGGGGGGGGGGGGGGGGGGTGACATAGGAAAAAGCCAAGCTAAATCAAGAAGCGGCGGAGTGATCTACCAACCAGCAAGCAGAGGTGTGTAGCACAATGACTGCCAGAAATACAAATCCAGGCAGTGCGGGTAAATTAGGAGGTTGGCACAAGCGACAGACGCCGTCCGCTCATTACCTCAATCACTTTCTCTAGCAAGCTGATTGCTTCCCCATAATCCTCTCTGTCGTAGGCTGCCCATGCCTCCTCCCGCCTCTCCTGCACCTCTCTCACTCGATCCAGCTGGTTCTTTGCTTCCTCATTGGTTGGGCTGCTAAGCAACTGTTGGGAAAAGGCAAAAAAAAAAAAAAAAAATCATTTGTACAGCTGAATTAAAAGAGAACATTGTTATTAGGAGAGAAGGGAAAATTATTATTGATGCTTCCTGAGCTCCACCTGCCAGAAGAAAAATAAATTTCATATCTATAAGAGGTACAAAGTACAAAGTTTATAAAACAAAGAAAAAGTAAAAAATTTCTTATGCATCTCAGAGAAAAGACATTCACATATGACTGAAATCATTAACAGCAACCAATCCGTGACATCACCAACACTTCATATTCATGAGAACATAGCTCGTCCAATCACTAGAGACCAGTGACATCACCGACACTTCATATTCATGAGAAACACAGCCCATCCAATCACTAGAGACCTGTGACATCACCGACACTTCATATTCATGAGAACACAGCCCGTCCAATTACTAGAGACCTGTGACATCACCGACACTTCATATTCACGACTGACACGTCATATTCATGGCAATACAGCCCATCCAATCACTAAGGACCAGTGACCTCACCCACACCTCATATTCATGAGAACACAGCCCATCCAATCACTAGAGACCAGTGACCTCACCAACACTTCATATTCATGAGAACACAGCCCATCCAATCACTAGAGACCAGTGGCATCACTGACACTTCATATTCATGAGAACATAGCCCATCCAATCACTAGAGACCAGTGACATCACCGACACTTCATATTCATGAGAACACAGCCCGTCCAATCACCAGAGACCAGTGACATCACCGACACTTCATATTCATGAGAACATAGCTCGTCCAATCACAAGAGACCAGTGACCTCACCAACACTTCATATTCATGAGAACACAGTCCATCCAATCACTAGAGACCAGTGACAGCACCAACACTTTATATTCATGAGAACATAGCACGTCCAATCACTAGAGACCAGTGATCGCCCCGACACTTCATATTCATGAGTACACAGCCCGCCCAACCACTAGAGACAAGTGACATCACCGACACTTCATATTCATGAGTACACAGCCCATCCAATCACTAGAGACCAGTGACATCACTGAGACTTCATATTCATGAGAACACAGCTGGTTCAATCACTAAGGACCAGTGACATCACCGACACTTCATATTGATGAGAACACAGCCTGTCCTATCACTAGAGACCAGTGACATCACCGACACTTCATATTGATGAGAACACAGCCTGTCCAATCATTAGAGACCAGTGACATCACATTGATGAGAACACAGCCTGTCCAATCACTAGAGACCAGTGACATCACCAACACTTCATATTCATGAGAACACAGCCCATCCAATCACTAGAGACCAGTGACATCACTGACACTTCCTATTCCTGGAAATAAAGCCCGTCCAATCACTAAAGACCAGTGACATCACCGACACTTCATATTGATGAGAACACAGCCTGTCCAATCACTAGAGACCAGTGACATCACCGACATTTCATATTCATCTGACACTTCATATTCATGAGTACACAACCTGTCCAATCACTAGAGAACAGTGACATCACTGACACTTCATATTCATGAGAACATAGCTAGTCCAATCACTAGAGACCAGTGACATCACCGAGACTTCATACTCACCACAGCCCGGAAATCCTCCTCAGCATCCTGTGTGTCCCCTTGCTTCAGAAGGATGTTTCCTCTCTGGAGTCTGGCCTGGTGACAATATACAGGAAGAAGATGTAAAAACATATCAATGTTTGCTGGAACTACTTATTTATACATTTGCAGACCGCCTGCCTGCAATGTACTACGGACGAGCGGGACGTATGGACACATGTGTGTTCCCACCCGCAGACTCCCTCTGTGTAGTTTGTCAGCAGGTCCCGGTCAACGATTCATGGCAGGGACCTGCTGATCGGTTGTGTCCAATCACAGCCCACAGCCCTCTGTTGACAATCAACACAGGGCTCTGTACAGAAGGAACAATCTCTGAAATTCATGCAGGAAGAAGAAAAAAAAAAGATATTTTTAAAAAAGCAGCACATAATACACATATTAACACTTGTTAGACCCACGCTTAATCCCTTGATTACAAGAGATGTTAACCCCTTCCCAGCCAGTGTCATTAGTACAGTGATCATGTATAGTATGATCACTGATCATTGTATTAGTGTCACTGGTGATATCAGTGACAGGCAGTTCCCACCTAGTGCCAGATTGCCCGCAGCACTACCACAGTCCCACTATAACAAGTCGCTGATAACGCTTGTTAGTATAAAAAAATGTAAAATTCCACTATACAATATATATATATATATATATATATATATATATATATATATATATATATATATATATATATATATATATATATATATATATATATACACATATATACATACATATATACACACCATAGTTTGTAGATGCTATAACTTTCACACAAACCAATCATTATACACTTATTGGGATTTTTCTTTTTTTTTTTACCAAAGACATGTAGCACAATACATTTTGGCCTAAATTTATGAATACATTTGAATTTATGCTATAGAACAGAAAGTAAAAAAAATATATATTTCTTTTAGAAAACTTTTGGGGATTTTTTTTTCCCATTAATAAAGTAAAAAATGAAAAACCCAGTGGTGATCAAATACCACCAAAAGAATGCTCTATTTGTGTGAAGAAGAAAAAAAAAAAAGGAGATACAATTGTGCTCAAAAGTTTGCCTCCCCTGGCAGAAATTGTGAAATTTTGGCATTGATATTGAAAATATGACTGATCGTGCCAAAAAATGCTCTTTTATTGAAGGATGATGATCATAGGAAGCCATTTATTATCAAATAGTTGTTTGGCTCCTTTTTAAATCCTAATGATAACAGAAAACACCCAAATGGCCCGGATCAGAAGTTTCCACCCCCTGGATCAGAAGTCTCCGCCCCCTGGAATGTTCGGCCTTGGTGCAGTCACACAAGGTGACACACACGGGTTACAATGCCAATTAGAGATTAATGTCCCATATCTGTGGCTTTTTAAATTGCAATTAGTGTCAGTGTATAAATAGTCAATGAGTTTGTTCGCTCTTACGTGGAAGCACTGACTAGGCTAGATACTGAGCCATGGGGATCAGAAAAGAACTGTCAAAAGTCCTGCGTAACAAGGTAATGGAACTTTATAAAGATGGAAAAGGACATAAAAAGATGTAGCTAATCAAACCTGACTCTCTCCTCAGAAAAAAAAGGTTTTGGATGGAGCTCCAGTTTAACAGTCCTTTATAGTGACTCACACGTAGCACTGGGCAGACCGTTACATCAGGAACAAACCTGATCTTCAATACCTGTACACTAGGGGCGACATTTACGAAAATGGGAGAGTGCAAAATCTGGTGCAGCTCTGCAGAGAAACAAATCAGCTTCCAGGTTTTATTGTCAAAGCTTAACCACATCAGTACCGGGCACTTACACCCCCTTCCTGCCCAGGCCAATTTTCAGCTTTCAGCGTTGTTGCACTTTGAATGACAATTGCGCGGTCATACAACACTGTACCTGAAATTTTTATCATGTTTTTCACACAAATGTGGTATACAATCACAACTGAGCTTTATTTTTTTGCTAAATAAAACAAAAAAACACCTGAAACATTTGAAAAAAAAAAAAGCACTTTTCTTCATTTTCTGTTATAAAATTTTGCAAACAAATAACATTTCTGCATAAATTTAGGTCCCAATGTATTCTGCTACATTTCTTTGGTGAAAATAATACTAATAATTGAATTTGTATTTTTTTTTCAAATGTTTCTATTATTTGTTATTAAATTTTTTCACCATTTCATTTTTCAGCACACTGTGACCAAAGCGATACGTTACCATAGTAACATTGAACTACTCTGGGCAAGTGATCAGGATTTTTTTTTTTTAAAACACATTATGATTGCTAATACCGATGTATTTCATGGATATTTGCAATCATTGTTACTGAATGAAACTGATTCATTCAGTCTTTTGTTGTGATTAGCTGTGATTGGGCAAAGCTGATCACATGATACAGATGGGCTGCGATTGGCCCTGTCTGTGTCATGTGACTACCTTGACCAGTCATAGCCAACAACATAATTGTATACAATGGATGGGCATGACAGGAAGCCATCCATTGTATACAATTGACATGTGATCTGCTGTGATTGGTCACAGCGGTCACATGACACTGGCAACGGGCCGGTGTAGGAATATGCCATTGGCTGTGTCCCGCGGACACAACCGGTGACAGATCGAGCCACTGCGGCTCGTTTTGACAGGACGTCATATTGCACCCAGTCACAACGTCGAGTGTCCCGCTTGGCCGTCAATCTGCTATAGGCTGGGCGGGAAGGTGTTAATTGAACAAGCTGAAGTTAGAAGCTGATTGGCTACCATGCACAGCTGTACCAGATTCTGAGTGCTTCAGTTTTTGCAAATTTCCCACACAATGTATCTTTGTTGAGGCAGGAATTAGATTCAATAACTTACAGCCAGGAAGTCTGGCTTCAGGTCGATGGCTTTGCTGAGATCTGGAAGAGCAGATTTGAACTTTCCCATCGCCAAATAGACGGTGGCCCGTTTGTAATACGTCAGGTAATTTTTGGGGTCTCCATCTGCAAAACAAGGCATTACAGTGAGCCATCGTGTCCACACAGAGGGAATTGTGAGGCCCGACTACTACTCCCTGCAGTGTAATCACATATGTAGTCTTGCTTTTAAAAGTTAAAGTTCGCCTTTTTGTGAAAAAAGAAAAGGTGAGCCAGCACCCTACGCCAGCACCCTACGCCAGCACCCTACGCCAGCACCCTACGCCAGCACCCTACGCCAGCACCCTACCCTACGCCAGCACCCTACGCCAGCACCCTACGCCAGCACCCTACGCCAGCACCCTACGCCGGCACCCTACGCCAGCACCCTACGCCAGCACCCTACGCCGGCACCCTACGCCACCACCCTACGCCACCACCCTACGCCACCACCCTACGCCACCACCCTACGCCACCACCCTACGCCACCACCCTACGCCACCACCCTACGCCAGCTCCCAACGCCAGCACCCTACGCCAGCAGCCCTTCTGAACCTTCTTAACACAGAGAAACCCTTGAAAAAAAAACTATCCAGTCTCAAAAAGAGCAGCATGACGGTGACTGAGAAGAATGCTCCATACATGCGTGCTCATTGGGGAAAATCTCCCCTTACAGAGAGCAAAAAAGATCAATGGTGTCAGAGGGAACTTATCTGTGAGGCAGTAACTGCTCATTGCTCAAGGAACCCCCAGCAACCTCCGGAGGAACGGTAGGGTTCCATGGAACCCTGGTTGAGGAAGGATGTTCCCCACACTTGTGGTCATTGAGAAGAATTACTACCTTACAGATAGTCAAATAGACGGTGGCCCGTTTGTAATACGTTAGGTAATTATTGGGGTCTCCATCTGCAAAATAAGGCATTACAGTGAGCCATCGTGTCCACACAGAGGGAATTGTGAGGCCTGACTACTACTCTTTGCAGTGTAATCACATATATAGTCTAGCTTTTGAAAGTTAAAGTTCACCTTTTCATGAAAAAAGAAAAGGCGAGCCAACACCCTACACCCTACATCAACACCCTACATCAACACCCTACATCAACAGACCTTCTGAACCTTTTTAACACAGAGGAACCCTTGAGAAAAAACTATCCAGTCTCCAATAGAGCAGCATAATGGTGAGTGAGAAGAATGCTCCATACATGCGTGCTCATTGGGGAAAATCTCCCCTTACAGAGAGCAAAAAAGATCAACGGTGTCAGAGGGAACTTATCTGAGAGGCAGTAACTGCTCATTGCTTAAGGAACCCCCAGCAACCTCCGGAGGAACGGTTCCATGGAACCCTGGTTGAGGAAGGATGCTCCTCACACTTGTGGTCAGTGGGAAGAATTACTACCTTACAGATACTGTAGCTAAAAAGACCAACGGTGTTAGTGGACACTGAGCTGAGAAGCAGAAATTGCTCGAGGAACCCAGAGCAAGCTTCAGTTGCTTAAGAAGCCTCAGTTGAGAAAAGCTACCCTACACCCTCCTGTAATAAAGACCAGTCAATGCTGCTCTCTCTCTCCTTGTGCAAGGTCACTGGTCTTCTCTCCGCTCCCTCCTGTAATAAAGACCAGTAACTGCTGCTCTCTCTCCTTGTGCAAGGTCACTGGTCTTCTCTCTGCCCCCTCCTGTAATAAAGACCAGTCACTGCTGCTCTCTCTCCTTGTGCAATGCGATTGGTCTTCTCTCCGCCCCCCTCCTGTAATAAAGACCAGTCACTGCTGCTCTCTCTCCTTGTGCAAGGTCACTGGTCTTCTCTCTGCCCCCTCCTGTAATAAAGACCAGTCACTGCTGCTCTCTCTCCTTGTGCAATGCGATTGGTCTTCTCTCCGCCCCCCTCCTGTAATAAAGACCAGTCACTGCTGCTCTCTCTCCTTGTGCAAGGTCACTGGTCTTCTCTCTGCCCCCTCCTGTAATAAAGACCAGTCACTGCTGCTCTCTCTCCTTGTGCAATGCGATTGGTCTTCTCTCCGCCCCCCTCCTGTAATAAAGACCAGTCACTGCTGCTCTCTCTCCTTGTGCAAGGTCATTGGTCTTCTCTCTGCCCCCTCCTGTAATAAAGACCAGTAACTGCTGCTCTCTCTAATTGTGCAAGCTGACTGGTCTTCTCTCCGTCTTCTCCTGTATAGAAGACTGGTCACTGCTGCTCTCTCTCCTTGTGCAAGGTGACTGGTCTTCTCTCTGCCATCTCCAGTAATAAAGACCAGTAACTGCTGCTGTCTCTAATTGTACAAGGTGACTGGTCTTCTCTCTGCCCCCTTCTATATTAAAGACTGGTCACTGCTGCTCTCTCTCCTTGTGCAGGGTGACTGGTCTTGTCTCCAATCCCTTCATGTAGTGGTTGAAGCTGCTGGGCCCCTCCCACAGCTCTGATCTCTGAACAGGCTATGTACAGAACAGCAATAATGTCATTGCTGCTTTTACAAGGTAATATATGTTCTTGTAAAGGCAAATCACAAAGTGGATTTATATCCTATGTGACTATTGGGGAAGTAGTACTGATCATGGAGAACACCCTACGCCCGGAGCGGTAAGTTTTATGTATAGCAGTACAGTGGCTAAATGGTTAGCACTTCCACCTGGCAGTACTAGGGTCACTGGTTCGAATCCCAACCACGGCACCACATGCCTGGACTTTGCATGTTCTCCCTGTGCCTGCACAGGTTTCCTCCCACACTCCAAAGACAAGCTGGTAGGTTAACTGGCTCCTGTCTAAATTGTCCCTAGTATGTGTATGTATGAATGTGAGTTGGGGACCTTAGATTGTACGCCCCTTGAGGGTTAGGGACCTTAGATTGTACACCCCTTGAGGGTTAGGGACCTTAGATTGTACGCCCCTTGAGGGTTAGGGACCTTAGATTGTACGCCCCTTGAGGGTTAGGGACTGATGTGAATGTACAATATTACTAACCTACTAAGCGACATATCGGCATGGATGTCACTCCACTTCCTCAAACTCAATCTATCCAAAACTGAGCTCTTAGTATTCCCTCCAGCCCGTGCCCCCTCCCTGACTTCTCTATCAAGATCAATAATACAACCATCAGTCCCTCCCCTCATGCCAGGGTACTAGGTGTAATCCTAGACTCCCATCTGTTCTTTCAGCCCCAAATCCAATCACTGTCCAAATCTTGTAGACTTCACCTCCGCAACATCTCCAACCTCCGCAACATCTCCAAGATACGTCCGTTCCTAACCTCAGAAACCACTAAGCAACTTATTCACTCCCTGGTTATATATCTCGCCTTGACTATTGTAACTCCCTCCTCATTGGCCGACCTCATCGCAGGCTATCCCCTCTTCAGTCTATCATTAATGCTGCTTCCAGAATCATCCACCTTACTAACCGTTCTGTATCTGCCACCCCTCTCTGCCAATTCCTCCACTGGCCTCCATTCAGTGTCCTCCACGCCTCTCTGCCAATCCCTCCACTGACCTCCATTCAGTGTGTCCTCCGCCCCTCTCTGCCAATCCCTCCACTGGCCTCCACTCAGTGTCCTCCACCCCTCTCTGCCAATCCCTCCACTGACCTCCATTCAGTGTCCTCCATCCCTCTCTGCCAATCCCTCCACTGGCCTCCACCCCTCTCTGCCAATCCCGCCACTGACCTCCATTCAGTGTCCTCCACCCCTCTCTGCCAATCCCTCCACTGGCCTCCACTCAGTGTCCTCCATCCCTGTCTGCCAATCCCTCCACTGGCCTCCACTCTGTGTCCTCCATCCCTGTCTGCCAATCCCTCCACTGGCTTCCACTCAGTGTCCTCCACCCCTCTCTGCCAATCCCTCCACTGGCCTCCACTCAGTGTCCTCCATCCCTCTCTGCCAATCCCTCCACTGGCCTCCACTCAGTGTCCTCCACCCCTCTCTGCCAATCCCTCCACTGACCTCCACTCAGTGTCCTCCACCCCTCTCTGCCAATCCCTCCACTGGCCTCCACTCAGTGTCCTCCACCCCTCTCTGCCAATCCCTCCACTGGCTTCCCGTTGCCCAATGGATAAAATTCAAAACATTTAACAATAACATATAAAGCCATTTATAACTCTGCCACAAAGTACATCACCGATCTTGTCTCCAAATATCACCCAAACCGTACTCTCCGCTCCTCGCAAGACCTCCTACTCTCTAGCTCCCTTGTCTCCTCCTCCCATGCTCGTCTCCAGGACTTCTCCAGAGCTTCCCCCATCCTCTGGAACTCTCTACCCCAATTTATCAGACTATCGCCTACTCTGCTCACTTTTAGGCGATCTCTTCAGGGAAGCCTATCCTGCCCTCAGCTAATAATGGTATCTTCTACTCTTCCAACCAGTCCATTCCCCACAGTTACTACCTTTTGTACCACTAGCCCCTCCCTCCTAGATTGTAAGCTCCCAGGATCAGGGCCCTCCTATCCCTCTTGTATTGAACTGTATTGTCTCCCGTTATATTGTAAAGCGCTGAGCTGTTGGCGCTATATATATAATCCTGTATAATAACAATAATAATATGTACAGCACTGCATAAATTGCCGGCGCTATATAAGTACCTGTAATAAATAAAGAATGAATAAATGTGTATTATGTTTTATCTTGAAAAGGGAATCCGAGCAGAATTGTAACCAATGGGCACACTTGTAGGTACTTAGCTGATTGCTGGATTTAGCTCAGACATGTTGGTGACAGGTCCCTTTAACTCTGTGATCACGGGTTTACACTCACCCACAGCAGAGTGATAATGTGAGAGCGCTTCGGCCAGTTGTCCCGCTGCCAGGAGCTTGCGGCCCATCTCCAGGTGGTTCTCTATTTCAGCCTGGCTGGCCGCCAGTGATCCTGCAGGGTAAATAACATTGGTCAGGGAACAGTGGTTACAGGACAACACCCAGAAAGCTTACAATTGGAGTCAATTGAACGCACATACAACAGCTCCGGAACACATGTGAAATGCAGAACAGAAAAACCAGACTGACTGTAACTGAGCAGTACATGCGGACGTTCAGAGGCGGAGTTTATCCTGTTTTGTTTTCAGGGAAAGCAGATCAATGCATCCTTATCTTGTCAAATGCTGCGTTTCCAATTCTAGCACAGTAATACACATCTGAGTGAAAACTGCAGCGTCTAGAACCCCCAGTCGGCATGAACTCTGTTTTTTAGCACGTCTCCTTTAAAGCGTATGTAAACCCCAAAACAAAAATGTAATATATCGTGGCTTACTGGTCCTTAGATATGGTGTTAGTTTTCTTTATTTCAGGATTTTTTCCTTTATTTTGACCTGGTGATCCTGCCTGTAAACACACTCCCTGGTGGCTACACTCACCCACACACTGTACTTTACCATCTATGGAGGGAGCCATGGTTGTCACACAGGTTGGACCCCAAACATGTCTTGGTGGCTACACTCACCCACACACTGTACTTTACCATCTATGGAGGGAGCCATGGTTGTCACACAGGCTGGACCCCAAACATGTCCTGGTGGCTACACTCACCCACACACTGTACTTTACCATCAATGGAGGGAGCCATGGTTGTCACACAGGCTGGACCCCAAACATGTCCTGGTGGCTACACTCACCCACATACTGTACTTTACCATCTATGGAGGGAGCCATGGTTGTCACACAGGCTGGACCCCAAACATGTCCTGGTGGCTACACTCACCCACACACTGTACTTTACCATCAATGGAGGGAGCCATGGTTGTCACACAGGCTGGACCCCAAACATGTCCTGGTGGCTACACTCACCCACATACTGTACTTTACCATCTATGGAGGGAGCCATGGTTGTCACACAGGTTGGACCCCAAATATGTACTGGTGGCTACACTCACCCACATACTGTACTTTACCATCTATGGAGGGAGCCATGGTTGTCACACAGGATGGACCCCAAACATGTCCTGGTGGCTACACTCACCCACACACTGTACTTTACCATCAATGGAGGGAGCCATGGTTGTCACACAGGTTGGACCCCAAACATGTCCTGGTGGGTACACTCACCCACATACTGTACTTTACCATCTATGGAGGGAACCAAGGTTGTCACACAGGATGGACCCCAAACATGTCTACCTTTGTACATCCCCACTACATGTTCTTAGCATGGAAAGAAAAAAAAAAAAAAAAAAAAAAAACATATCTAAGGACTAGTATGCTGCATTATATTAATGCAACAGTTCCTTGTGTATAATTATGGTTTCACTAAGCATAGGTCCGCTTCACAATGGATTTACAGACCTTTTTCTATCTGATGGTCATATATTATTTTTTTAATGTTCTCACTTCTGGTTAGTATTGTCCTAATTAATGACAGTCTCACCATCCAGCTGAAGGTCCAAGATGACACATAGGAGGGAGAGAGAGGACAGGACTCCGCTCATACCGCGCCGATCTCTCTCCATGCCAGCTGGGCAGTCTGGTGTGGGATGACGCGGTCCTCTTCCTGCTAATGGAGGAGAAAAAATAAATATATATATATATATATATATATATATATATATATACACATATATACACACACACACACATAAATAAATTGCCAAAAGTATTGGGCCGCCTGCCTTTACACGCACATGAACTCTAATGGCATTCCAGCCTTTATGCAAAGCCATGCAAAGCAGTGTGCAGGAGCTGACAGGGGAGATATCTGTATTGTTTACATACAGTTCTCTCCTTTCCTCGGTAATGCTCCTCAATCACCGGCCGGGACCCAAGGATTGACAGCCAAGGCTGCAAATAGCGGCGTGGGTAGGGCGCTCATGCCCTACCTCCTGCCCGGAAATGCAAAATTACGTATATCTACGTGATTTTGCGCACCCCTGCTGCCCTGTAGCAGTATATCTGCTATTGGACGGCAAGAAAGCGGTTTTAATGGCCTCCCAGTCTTAGTCCGTAGGGTTCAATATTGGGTTGGCCCCGCCCTTTGCAGCTATAAACAGCTTCAGCTCTTCTGGGAAGGCCGTCCACAAGGTTTAGGAGGGTGTCTATGGAAAGGTTGGACCATTCTTCCAGAAGCACATTTGTCAGGTCAGGCACTGATGTCAGGGGAGGAGGCCTGGCTCGCAGTCTCCGCTCTAATTCATCCCAAAGGTGTTCTATGGGGTTGAGGTCAGGACTCTGTGCAGGCCAGTCAAGTTCCTCCACCCCAAACTGGCTCCTCCATGTCTTTATGGACCTTGCTTTGTGCACTGGTGCGCAGTCATGTTGGAACAGGAAGGGGCCATCCCCAAACTCTTCCCACAAAGTTGGGAGCATGAAATTGTCCAAAATGTCTTGGTATGCTGACACCCTAAGATTTCCCTTCACTGGAACTAGGGGGCCAAGCCAAACCCCTGAAATACAACCCCACACCATAATCCTCCCCTCCAACAAACTTCACACTTGGCACAATGCAGTCAGGCAAGCACTGTTCTCTTGGCAATCACCAAACCCAAACTCATCCATAGGATTGCCAGAGAAGTGTGCTGGACACTCCAGAGAACATGTCTCCACTGCTCTAGAGTCCAGTGGCGGCGTGCTTTACACCACGGCATCCAACGCTTTGCATTGCACTTGGTGATGTAAGGCTTGGATGCAGCTGCTCGGCCATGGAAACCCATTCCATGAAGCTCTCCATGCACTGTTGTTGGGCTCATCTGAAGGCCACACCAAGTTTGGATGTCTTTAGCTATTGACTCAGCAGACAGTTGGTGACTTCTGCGCACTGTGCGCTTCACCATGCGCTGACCCCGACCTGTCATGTGACGTGGCCTACCACTTGGTGGCTGAGTGGCTGTTGTTCCCAGTTGCTTCCACTTTGTTATAATCCCACTAACAGTTGAGTGTGGAATATTTAGTAGCCAGGAAATGTCACGGATGGACTTATTGCCCAGGTGGCCACCTATCACGGGACCACGCTTGGAGTCACTGAGCTCCTGAGAGCGACCCATTCTTTCACCAATGTTTGTAGAAGCAGTCTGTATGCCTAGGGGATGGATTGTATACACCTGTGTCCATGGAGGGGATTGGAACACCTGAATCACATGATTTGGAGGGCGGGGCCAATACTTTTGGAAATATAGTGTATGAATCCTGCAGATATGGTGCAGAAGATGACGGTGATTGCATTCTCTGGGTTTACAGGAAATGGAGCAACAAACAAGAAGCATCCAGTGTGCAGAAATACTCCGGGGAAAACTTCTGGTTAATAAGAGAGGGGGCGCTACATCAAGGCTGTGTATGACCAGGGTGGGTTATAGCAGAGGGCACATCACCTTCTACCCCAAGGAAGGGGGTAAAAAGGTGACCAAAATTAGATGACTAAGGGGCTAGGTGTCCTCCCAAACTGGATGACTGGGGGCCAGGTGACCCCAAAATTAAATGAACAGGGCCATGGGGTGACCAAAACTAGAAACTGGGACCACGCTGTAACTGAACAAGATGACTGGTGGGGTGGGAGTCAAGAAAAGTGGACAACTGGGCTCTGTCATGGCCATCTTTGACCAGCATAGGGGTTAATGGGAATACCAAAACTAGCAGACCAAGCACACAGGAACACCTACACTGGATGCCTGGGGGCACATGGTCCACAAAAGTGAACTGGGGACATGGGGGCCACCAAAAATGGAACGCAGGGCCTAGGTATCCCTAAAACCTAACAAACAGGCCCACCAAAAGTAGAAACTGAGACCACACAGTAATCAAACCTAGATGACTGGGGGCATGGAGCACCAAAACTGGACAACTGGGCTGTTATGGCCACCAGAAATTAGCACCAAGAACTCGGGATCAGCAAAACTGGAAGAAGACTAGGCCCAGAAAGTCCCCAAAAGTAAACAACTTGGGGCAAGGGGTCACCAAAACTGGACTATTGGGGCAGGGGAACCACCAAAGATGGATGATGGGGGACACGGAAGCAGCCAAAACTGGACGATGGGAGGGAGGACCCACCAAAACTGGGTGATGGAAGACACGGGGTCACCACACCTAGGTGACGGGAGGAGGAAAGGGGCCAACAAAATTGGGAAATGGGGGACACAGGGCCACCAAAGCTGGATGACGGGACACCAAAACTGGATGACGGGGGGAAGGGTCACCAAAACGGGCCAACAGGGGACACGGGGTCACCACAAATGGGTGAGGGGGAGGAAAGGGGCCACCAAAACTGACTGACAAGGGACATGGGGACACCAAAACTGGATAACAAGAGACATGGTGACACCAATACTGGATTATGGGGGGGAGGGGCCACGTGATCACCACAAATGTGTAAGGGGGGGAAGGAAAGGTTCCACTAAAACTGGGCCACCAAAACTGGATGACAGGGGACATGGGGACACTAAAACTGGATGATGGGAGGCACGGAGTGACCAAAACTGGAAGATGGGGGGGGGGGGAGGGCCACCAAAACTAGGCGATGGGGGACATGCAGTCATCACACCTGGGTGCTGGGGGGGGGGGGGGGGGGAAGGGGCCATCAAAACTGGGCAACGGGGTACACAGAGACACTAAGACTGGGCAACAGGACGACAAAAAATGTTGGACACAGGGTCACCAAAACTGGGCAACGGGGGACACTAAGCCACCACGACTGGGCAAAATTTGGCAACAGGGGACAAAGAGCCAACAAATCTTGGCAACGGGCCACCAAAACTGGGCAACGTTGGACACAGGACCAGCAAAACTGGGCAACAGGGGACACAGGGTCACCAAAACTGGGCAACAGGGGACACAGGGTCACCAAAACTGGGCAACGGGGGACACAGGGCCACCAAAACTGGGCAACGGGGGACACAGGGCCACCAAAACTGGGCAACGGGGGACACAGGGTCACCAAAACTGGGCAACGGGGGACACAGGGTCACCAAAACTGGGCAACGGGGGACACAGGGTCACCAAAACTGGGCAACGGGGGACACAGGGTCACCAAAACTGGGCAACGGGGAACACAGGGTCACCAAAACTGGGCAACGGGGAACACAGGGTCACCAAAACTGGGCAATGGGGAACACAGGGTCACCAAAACTGGGCAACAGGGGACACTGAGCCACCACGATTGGGCAAAATTTGGACACAGGGCCACCAAAACTGGGCAACGTTGGACACAGGGCCACCAAAACTGGGCAACGGGGGACACAGCACCACCAATATTGGGCAACAGGGGACAAAGAGCCAACAAATCTTGGCAACGGGCCACCAAAACTGGGCAACGTTAGACACAGGACCAGCAAAACTGGGCAACAGGGGACACAGGGTCACCAAAACTGGGCAACAGGGGACACTGGGCCACAGGGAGTACAGGGACACAAATTCTAGTCCCTGACCAGAGAACCCCCAGTGAGGAGGACCTAATGAAGTATCACCCAGCACACCCCCTCCCTGTACACTGCCATCCTGAGAACTCCCTCCCATCCCCATGGTGACCTGCACACAGCCAGTCACATGACCACACAGGTGGGCGCACACACATTACCTGCTCTCCTCTGTCACTCTGTACTGTACATCCTCTGTACCTACAGATCCCGCACCACTTCCGCTTCCGGATGTCACCACTACACACCCGCCAACCAGCGCCAGACTTCCGGTCCCTCTGGCCAATCGGACGCCAGGCTACCATATCGTGGGCTCTCCTGATTGGTCAGGTGTCAGAAGCCGTGTTGATCTACCGTCAGTCATTCCTTTTACTCTCCACTCTCTTCATCCAGGTATCCTAGCGACGCTGTGGAATGCATCTGATTGGCCCGACCTTCTTCTTCACTTTTCATTGGTTGGCAGGCTCGACACCTGCCCGGCTCCTATTGGCTCCTGTCGGTGACCGTGATTGGCTGGACAGGGGAATGCCTGTGGTGGAATGAAGGTGTGAGGAGGGCGCCCCCTGGAGCGCAGAGTGCGGTATTCTTCCTATCATTGAGTATCGCTGGGGAGATTTCTCTCTACTTCCTGTCCTAAATACACCACAGGAAATCAGAGGTAATCTCTCCTAGATGTCCCCATCAGAAGATTTCTCTTCATTTCCTGTCCCGGTGACACAACAGGAAGTAAAAAAGAAATCCTAAGGAAATCAGTGTAGACAGATTCAGTGTCCCTATTGGCAGATTTTTCCTCATTTCCTGTCCCGATGACACAATAGGAAGTAAATGGAACCCATTGGGATAATGGGTTTGGTAGAACTGGTGTCCCCATTCGCAGATTTCTCTTCATTTGCTGCTCTGGTGACACAACAGAAAGTAAAAGGACATCTTTGGAAAATCAGGGTAGACAAACCCGGTGTCTCCATTGGCAGAGATTACCCTCATTTCCTGTCCTGGTGACACAACAGGAAGTGAATGGAAATCTTCAAGAAATCAGGGTAGACAGACCCGGTGTCCCATTGGCAAAATTACCCTCATTTCCTGTCCTGGTGACACAACAGGAAGTGAATGGA